AGGGCGGCCATCTGGCTTGATGGGCGCTGATAAGCCTGATGGCAAGGGAAAAGACGTGATTTTCGTGGCCCTATTTCTCTCGCAATATTCCGGCTTTATTGGGTAGTGACGTTATTTCAAAAGTGTTTCAAATTGAAACTCGAAATAATTAAAACGATCCCCGCTTCCTCAATGACCTCGGCTGGCCTGCCCTCGAATCCACAATAATCTCGGCTAGCCTGCCCCCTCTTCCTCAAAATTCTCGGCTAGCTTGCCCGTGACTCCTCAATGTTCTCTACTAGCCTGCCCTCACTTCCTCAATGATCTCTGCTCGCTACCGGGCTTCAAACATTTAAAATGGAAAAATCCTTGGGTCAAATCATGCATTTATTTGCCAAGTGTTGTATACCGGCCTGTGGATGGTAAGTGGAGGCAAAAGAGAGGCTGGTCCCACCGCGAAACCTGATCCATAGGGAACGGAGGAGACGCGGTGGCCCCCTACCGGGTAGCCCTCCATAACATCGATTCAGGATTCCATGTTTTTGTTTCTGGCTCTCTCTCCTCTCTCCCTCTTTCTCTCTCTCTCTTTCTCTCTCTCTCTCTCTCTCTCTCTCTCTCTCTCTCCTCTCTCTTCCTTTCTCTCGCTCTCTTTCTCTTTTTCTATGTCTCGCTCTCTCTCGTTTCTCTTTGCAGTCCCTTTAAAATCAGAATCCAGAACCCGTCAACTTTTTCTGGAATTCTTTTCTTCTCGAGGGGCCCAGAATCGGATTTGCCGTCCGCTGCGGGAGTGTGCCGTTTGCTTCCGAAGGGCCCTTCCCAGGCTTTTCCCTCCACTTTTGGCCCTAAGCTCCCCACACCGCGGGTTTTCTAGGTTTTTCTTGCCCTGATTTTCGATCTTTTGGGGCTTGCCGGTGGTCTGATTCAGTTGTTTTCCGGTTGAAGCCGCCCCCTAGAACCCGGAATCGCCTCCCAAAAAACTTGACAGCTATCAAACCCGGAAAACTCGGGGGGCGCAAAAAGTGCATATTCCATGCGGGACCCAAAAAGAGGAAAGGAAAGGCTTATATGGCGCGTCTCTCCCTATCTCTCTCTATCTCGCTCTCCTCTCTCTCTCTCTCTCTTTCTCTCTCGTTCTCTCTTTCGTTTTGTCCTAAATTGCGCAAATGTACGATGCTCGCCTGCCTGCTCTTACAGTCGCAATTAGATGGTGAAATTCTCAAATAATCTCTGCTAGCCTGCCCAAATTTGCACGTTTTCCGGAAGAAGAAACGGAAGAGGCACCGAGAAGCTTATATTGCGTCTCTCTCTCTCTCTCTCTCTCTGTCTCTCTCTATGTCGCTCTCTCTCCCGCTCTCTCTTTCTCACGACCTCTCTCCACCATCTGCCCATCCGCTTCCCCCTCTATTTCTCTGCTCCCTCTCCCTCCCCTCCTTCTCTATCTTTCTCTTTCCAGATATGGCTGTCTCCTCTTTTGCATTGAAGGGCTCTCCATGCCCTCCCTCTTCTCTTCTCTTCCCATCCACTCCACTGTCACTTCTGCCGTTCCAAACCAATACTCCGTCCGTCCGCCCATCCATCCCACAATGCCTTCCATCAGTTTACCATATTTGGCAGGCTTCTGCTCTGAACTTAACGCTAAAATCAACTTAAAAATGGCGCTAAGAGGCATTCACATTTCAGAAATTTGCCCCGACGCGCTATCTTATTATCGCTAGCTTTTTTCTATTCATATAATTCATGCTTTTGAGTGAATTTTTCACTATATTCCGGTTTTTCCTTCCTAATTAACTTTTAAATAGGCCAAAACTCATTTTATTCAAGAACGAAGATTATAAAACTTTTAAATTTTACAGGAATGGCATTTTTGCTATGACTTTTTGGCATTTCATTCATTCCAGCCAAAATTTTGTGTGAAAATAGATTTGGTTATCCTTAATATATTCCGCAAATTTGACTCCGAACTAATATAGTAAGGAGAAGTTATGGTTCTCTGAAATTATCAACCGTTTCCTGGCATCCTTTTGGTGCGCCAAGTTACGGAACCGATTTTTAAATCTTTTGGATGTCGCAATCCCTTTAAAATACACCTGAATTCCGCCCACTTTTTGATATTTTCGGTCGTATTGAATTTCAAATTTGCTACGCCTCCATGTCGTCCCCAGCAGGCTGGATGTAGCGAGGTGTCAAAAGCAGATTACTTTTTGGAGGCTTTTTGGCTGTCAAAAAATCCTCAATGATCGCTGCTAGCTTGCATGCACTAATTGTTTGAGCTTTGCTGCTAGAAAGCGAGAGAGTGAGTGAGGGAGAGATCCAGAGCGAAATAGAGAGACGATAGAGAGAGAAAGAAAGAGAGAGAGGGAGAGTGAGAGAGAAATAGGGAGACAAACTTACCCAATATTTTCCATTATAAAGGCACAGACCTTTCAGAAATTTTCCGCCTTGTCGCGCTCCCTTTAAAAAGCTACACATCCCTCCTACAGCTATCCGTAATTAGTATTCATTCGTATTTCATCAAAATATCCCCCTCCCCCAGTAGTGTCAACCCACCAAGGAGAGAAATAGATTAATGACCAAGTGGTAGTGGTGGTGGTGGGGGCTTTTCCGATAGCGTTGAGGGCATGGCTATAATGGTGCCTCCCTCCTTCCTTTCCTTTCCCCTTCTAGCTGGGCCCTTTGTCCCTTTCCCTTTGGGCCCCAACCACCACCACGTTGGGGGGCCCATTTCGATGGCCGTTTGGCCCCCACGGGACACGCCGCCTATTTCGGAGCCCGCGATAGCTAATTTTGTGGGTGTAGAAGCATGTGTATTAGACTGTTGTGCTCTTTGATTCCTAAAGAAACTCTGCTCGTTATCTCAGCTCTGCCGGCCTTCCAATTCCCAAAAAATCTCGGCTAGTTCTCCTGATTTCCCAAAGAATTTCTGCTAGTTATTTCGATCGTGAAAGAAAAACAGGTTTCCACTTCGTCCTAAAGAGTTTCTGCTAGCTAATGAATTTTTTGATCGAAAGCCCGCTAGCCGATTAAATCTTGAAGAAGCTCTGCTAGTTATCTTGTTCCTAAAACGTCTTACTTTCGCTGTCTCTCTCTCTGTCTGTCTCTCTCTGTCTCTCTCTCTCTCTGTCTCTCTCTCGCTCTCTCTCGCTCTCTCTCACTCTCTCGATCTGTCTCTCTCGCTCTCTCTCTATCTGTCTCTCTCTCGCTCTCTCACTCTCTCTCTCTCTCTCTCTCTCTCGATCTGTCGCTCTCTTTCTACCATAGGCCATTTAACGCCGCAAATTTAACTCATCCTCAGAAATCTCGACTAGTTCTCCTCAATTCCCAAAAAATCACTGCAAATTGCTTACAATTTCTAAGCTTCAACGTCTCTCTGCTAATATCGCGATTTCTAGGATTTTTTAAGATGATAAATCATGTTTTTCCATTATCATCTCCACTCTCCTCCCCCACCCATAACATCCAATTTTCTCCCCATCTGTCTATTTTCCTGCCTCTTTCTCTTGGCAGGCTAATTTCGTTTTGGCTGTCGGCCCTCGTTTCGTGTTCTCGAAATTCTTTTCTCCTCAAAAATCCGATTAAAATACCCAACCAAAAATCTCCCATCTTTTAGAACGAACCAACGAGCAAGGCGGGTAGCAACAGAAGTCTGGTGGATGCGGGAACAATGTTACGGGAGGAATGTGAGTCCGCATAGGCTTGTGCTTGAGCTTGAGCTTGGGCTTCGGCCTAGGCTTTGTTTGGATTAAGCGTAAGCTTGGGCTTAGGCTCGCTCTTAGGCTTGGCTTAGGTTCAGGCTTTGGTTGCTAGGCTTACGCTTAAGCTTGATTAAGCTTGTGCTTGAGCTTGAGCTTGGGCATAGGCCTATGCTTTGGTTGGATTAAGCGTAAGCCTGGGCTTAGGCTCAGGCTTAGGTTTCGACTTAGGTTTAGGGCTTGACTTAGGCTTAGAGCGCATACTTCGGATAAGTTGCTGTTTTCAGTCACGGCCTCGGACCTGTTCAACGTGGCTTCGGTGGCTTGTATAAGCGCGCGACGAAAACTGCTTTATACGGCAAACCCGCTGCAGGCCTGGCCACTTGTTGAAGGCGTCCAGGTTCCGGTAGGTAATTTGGTGGCTTCGGGGCTAAGGTATGCAAAATATGTCTTTACCTCTCTCTCGCTCTCGCTCTCGCTCTCTCTCGCTCTCTCACACTCTCTCGCTCCTCTAACATTGTTGCCAAGTATTCCCGAGAGCCATTTTCAGGGAGTGGAGGGATGGATTGGGCGGAGTGTCTCGTAGCCCATTCCATTTTCCCCTAGGGGGAACATCCGTTCCGCTCGGATTGGCCCCCGAAATCCGACCGGACAGACAGAAATCTCTCTCCCTCTCTCCCTATCCCTTGCTCTCATTCTCTCTCTCTCTCTCTCTCGCTGGGCGGAGCCTGCTATTCCAGGAAATGGTGCGCCATGCAGGGATTAGGTTGCCCCCACCATAAGGCAACACTTCACACTAAGTGAGAGGGAGAGCGAGACAGAGAGAGTGAGATAGAGAGAGAGGGAGATAGAGAGAGGGAGAGAAAGAGAGAGTGAGAGAGAAAAAGGGAGATAGAAAAAGGCCTATCCTATATTTTTTTCAGCGTTTCCAACCCCTCTCCCGCCCAATCCAATGCATCTCGACGTCAACCGACGAGCGTACAGTAGCCGTGGCCCTCGGGTCGGTCGTCAAAATTTTTGATGCGGAATCGGGCCATGAGCTGCGTACATTCGCGGAACACGCGGATACTGTAAACGCGGTGGCGCCGTTTAACAAGAATGTATATTATTGGGTGAGTAAATTTAAGAACTACGCGAATTTCCTATAGACAAACCCTTTTAAAAGCTAACGTCAAAACTTCTTTAAAACCTCGAAATTACCGATTTCTGGCTTCTCAACCTCTTTAAACGTCTTTGAAAGCTGGCTATTGACTTCTCAGCCCCGTTAAACTGTTCCATCGTTTCCTTCGTAATGTCCTTAAAATATTTTTTTCCAGGCCACCGTATCCGACGATGGTCTGTGCATACTGTGGGACATCCAGGCTCACCCGCCGTATCTCCTCAAAAAACGGATACAATCGGCCGGCCGGTCGGTGGCGCTCTCACCAGATGACCGGCTGTGCATCGTCGGATCTGATGTTAGCATCGAGATTTTCGACTTGAGGCAGAGGGCGATTCGGGTGAAGCTGATTGCTGGGATTTCGGTGAGTAGTTTTGACGGTTGCTCTCTCTCCCTCTCTCCCTCTTTCTCTCTATATATCTCTCTCCGGCCCGTCTGTCTCTCGCTCGCTCTCTCTCCCCCCCTCTCTCTTTTCATTCCCCCGTTTCCAGGTCCGCGGCATCGCTTTCCACCCCCACGAGTTCCTGCTCTCCTCCTTCGGAAGTGATCGTGTCGTCCGTTTCTGGGATCTCGAGACCTATGAATGTATCGGCGTCTCTGACATGACAGATACCGACATCAACAACGTTTCCTTTGCCCCAAATGGTCAGTTTTCGCAGTTAGCTTAATTTATACTAATTTTTAGGAGATCTTCTGGTAGCATGTACCGATGAGACGCTTCATCTGGTCACCTGGGAGCCCGTTACGGAAGTCGCCAAGTCGGAGCTGCCGTTGAATACTAAGGTATTGGAGAGAGAGAGAGAGAGAAAGAAAGTGAAAGAGAAAGAGAGAGAGAGAGAGAGAGAGAGAGAGAGAGAGGGGAGAGCAATAGAACAATAGAAAGGAAAATTATCTGATTTTCAGGCTCTCTGCCTCCTTCCCACTTCCGATTCCCTCGAAGTCCTCTGCGCTTTTGGAGATCGAAGCATCGTCCTGTTCAGCTCCACGTATGAGGTAGGCTAGATTCTTTTCGTTTTTGGATTCCTACGCTTCTCTGTACCTTTAGAGCCTCGATTTTTCCCCTCTCCCAGGGTCATTGGCCCCCCCGGCGTACTAGCCGTGTCCAGGGTGTGCCAACTTCCGGTCGACCCGGATTGAACCTCAAATGGGGGAAAATAGTCCTGGCTAGCTCATTTTTTTTTGCAGGAAATCCTCGCCACTGCCGATATTGAACCTGTTGAAGACGTCGACCCGTTTGGAAGGCCGGAATCCCTCGGAAATTCGCCAGTCACTGACGGGTCGGACGGGGCTCACGATAGCCCGTTGAGCGACGAGCCGTCGTCACCTGATGAGGAGCACGAGGTAGGCTGGCAGTGATCATTGAGGAAGGGTATGGCCGGCTAGCAGAGAGCATTGAGGCTAGCGAGAATTTTGTGGAAACGAGGGCAGGCTGGAAGAGTTCATTGAGGAAGGTAGGGTAGGCTAGCAGATATCTTTGAGGAAGCGAGCGCAAGCTAGCAGAGATTGTTGAGGAGCACGTGGTAGGCTAGCAGAGATTCTTTAGAAAATTAAAGGGGTGGTGACAACAGCCGAAATTATTTTTCTTTTTAGCCCACCCCCATTCCCGAGCAGCTAGATCCCGAAACAAGTCCCTACCGTAACCGGCGCTACACAAAACTCCCCGAGACGCCTACGGTAATTTTTCACGGCATTTTGGAACTTTTTTTTGTCTTATTTTTCAACATTAAACCTGATTTCAGCGTCGCCCGCCACTCGGTGCAAAAGCCGGTGTTTCTCGACTGAGCAGCTCAAGTAGCACCTCGAAATCCACGTCTTCATTAGCTTCAGTGGAGCGGCCTGGGGTTCAGAAAAGATCATCTACACCCGAGACACCCAGCTCGCCCACGAAAACGATGGGAAGTCGGCCGAGCACCATCAAGTGAGTGGCTTAGGGTTAGCTTAGGCAGGGCTTAGGCTTGGGCTTGGGCTTGGGCTTGGGCTTAGGCTTAGGCTTAGGGTTAGGCTTCGGCTATACCCATTTAACACCCAGAAAATTGCACTTTAAGTAGTCCTATCGGATTACACTCAAAAACGTAGCGTTCCCGATTTGTAGCTTGAACTAGCCGAATTGCATAGACGCGTTGCCACCGACAACCAGCTGCCCAGTTCCAGGGCGAACCCCCCTGAAAAGCGGTCACTTGGGGGAGTGACCAGCCGGAATCAGCGAGCTTTTAAGAGGCTTTCGGGCTTCTCTCTCTCTCTCACGAATACGCTAATTTTACCACCCATTAAAACTTCAAAATACTCGCATTTGCCATATTCGAAACTTTTCAGAAAGGCCCCCAGCCTAAATCCCGACATGCGCCCCCGGAACAGCTCGATGGGGAGGCTGGAGGTGGAGAAACCGGTACGCCAATTCATTTGACTATCGTAATCGATTACAAATTTAGAAAACCCTGCCAACAACACAGGCACGCCCGGATCGAACGATGGGGAAAAGCCCGGCCAAGTCACCGGGCCCCCCGAAGGATATGAGAAGGGCGAACAGCCTGAAGAATGGCTCAAGGCAGGCCAAGCCGCCGGAGGTAAACATTTAAAATTTGGGTTACCGGTTCCGTAAAAGCTGAAATTCTTGAAAAAAACCTGTCCTTACCTTGCTCTTGTTTTAATCGTTTCCAAATGGTTAAAACTGGATCCTATTTACTTCTTTCCTAAAAGATATCTGCTAGCTTGCCTGGACTTTGTCTTCAAACGCCTTACTTTCCGCAAAGAATTTCTGCTCGCTTGCCACGAGCCTTCTGGCCCGTTTTTCCTAAAGGATCCCTGCTATCTTGCCTAGCTCCAGAATCGTCTGGCTTCTTAAAAACATCGCTGCTAGTTTAGCTCGCGCCGGACCTAGCGTTTTCCTAAAGGATCTGCGCTAGCTTGTCTAGCGCCAGGGCCGACCGGCTTCGAAAAAAGCCGCTAGCCAGTGGGTCTCTGTTTCCTATTTTTCAAAATACAATCTGCTAGCCACGGGGATAAATAAACGAGAAGTACGTTACACTCCTCTTTTCAGACACTTGGTGAAGCATGTACCATGGCGAGCACCGGCCATTCCACCTTTACGAGTCGACTCGAGGAACGGCGACAAGGATTTGCATCGGTGTCCGCTTTGGTTCGAAGTCGAGGGCTACTCGGGGCTGTCGATGTTTTGGACGGGAATAAGTGAGTTCACTCCCTCCATCTCTCTCTCACTTACTTTCTATCGCTCCCTCACTCTCACTTTCACTCTCTCGCCCTCTCTCTCGCTAGCTAGGAAGTCAGGAACTCGATTTGAAACACCTTTTAATGCGCAACTTTCAGGAAAGAACTCGCCTTGCTGTGTGAAGCCGTCGCCGCCGGAAGTCAGATGAGCTTCCCTCTGGCGATGAAGCTTCTCCCTCGAATCCGGATACTCTGGAGTGCCATCGGGGTCTCCAAGCCTGGGATATTGAGCTTATTAGCCAAGGTGGGACAGAAAAGCCTGCCTAACCCAGACAGAAACAAACAGAAAGGCTAAGCCTAAACCTAGGCCTAAGCTAAGCTTAAGTCCAAGGCTAAAGCCAATTTCTATGTATTCAGATCGTCTTCGACCTGGGCCACCAGCTTAAGATCAACGCCCGGGGCCCAGCTTCGTCTATAGGTGTTGACGTAGCGGCTGAGGAGAGGAGGGCGAAGGCACTGAAATGTGTTGAGGTACGGTAGGATGGGCCCGGGATATGAACACGCACCAGATCTGCTGCAAAAGCTGTATAAATCGCCAGAGAGAGGGAACGAGAGAGAGAGAGCGCGAGGGAGAGACAGACGGAGCGAGAGAGAAAGAGAGAAACATAGAGAGAGAGGGGGGAGGGAGGGAGAACAAATACAAAAACCGAGAAATTCATTAAACCAACTTTTCCAGGCCCTCGCCGAGATCCAGCTCAACGAACCCTTCTACCGCGAAAGCCTAAAAGGCGAAAATCGCGCTCTCTTCGACCGGGTCATGAAAGAAATCGCCGGAATCTGCGCCTAATATCGTAGTTTGTAGTTTCTAGCTGAGCCCCTATTTTGTACCCCTCAATACCGTACCCACTGCCTTATGCGCTTGCTCCCCGTCAATTCCCGGAACAATATGTAATTTGGCCTTCGAAAATTGCGTCGATTCTCACTTGATTTAATTTTATTGTATGTCTATTTTTTTGCAAACTCGGGTCCCGCCGCGACGTGTAGCGCCACACTGTGATTGTGCCTTTCGGTTTTACTACTGCGTTTCATTGCGAGTTTTCCCTGCACCGCTGCATTTTATGCTAATTTGTGTGATTCGCATAAATACTCAAAAACGTGTCAAAACAAAAGCATGTACTGCGCAGCAGCACCGTGCTCCATTCTTTTCCATCAAACTTGATTCTAAAAGTCGCGTAAATCCAGCAAGATACTTGTAAAGCTGCAATTAAGATCAACTTTTGGAGACTTTTATTGCTCAACAAATCCAACAAATTAGCAAAATCAAATAGGGAAATTAGCTATGCGAGTAAATCATGACCAAAAACAAGCTTTTGAAAGACAAAAAGCATGCTTGTCGTGCAATGGGATTGAGGGCCAGGGGGAGTGAATAACGATGGGTCTAGTGTGTTCAACAAAAATGGGGCAAACTGGATGTTAATAAAGTGACTAGAGTGGCTGCGTAATCGTCACCAGAAGAAAATAGGAAAACGGCTAGAAGATGATGGCTTTCAGGCTCGTACAGGGTGCGGGGGGTTTGTTGTAGGATGGGCCAATGATAGTGGATACAAGCAATTGTCTCTTGCGCTCCACTCCTTGCTGCCAATCTTGTGCACGCGCCGCCATCCGAGCCGCTCGCACATCTTCACCTTCTCCTGGGACCGCACACGCGTCGTCTTCACTTTCGCCTTCGCCGTCGGATAGATAGCGCGGCTCGACGAAGAACCTGAAAGCAATATATGATAGAAGCTGTAAATAATTTTCTTCAAAAACAATATTAGTTTAACCAGGTTTTGAACTTCGTTTAATAGTAAGTTTCGTTTAAATTAATTTTAAGAGCCAAAAAGTGCGGAAAGGGAGGGCGTTTAAAAACAGCTGAATTCAGGAAAATAAATAAATAACATTTTATTTAAAATCAGTTCGATACTAGATTTGAAATTTGTATAAAGGCCAAAATAATATGACGTAGCATTAAATTTGTAGAAACCAAAGTAGAATTTTAGCGCAGCAGGTGAAAAAAGATAATTACTAGCCAAATTCAGTTTCTCAAAATATTGTTTAATTTTAAAATATTTAAAAAAGTTACCCTTCATCGTCATCATCTTCCTCGTCTTCCACCTCATCCTCTTCATCCGATCGACATTCTTCGGCGTCCGCCGGATCTTCCTCCCATTCTTCATCCGATTCCACCTAAATTCGGATAAGCAAAGAGTGGCACGCGCACCTCATAGTCCAATATTTCTGCCTTTCCCATCGGACGGCGGCCATTGAGACCTTTTGGCATTGGCTGGGTCGACGTTCCGTAGAAAGGGGGTCGATAACTTAGGTGGAAATGGTACAATTTCGACTTCTGCAACCTAAAAAAGAAATTTTTTACCATAAGTCTAAAAGCTACCGAGTGCTGGTGGCAGGGACAAGTCTGAAGTACTTCATCTTCTCAATCCTCTCTCCAACGATTTGAGGAAAATCATCAGCAGTGGCGGCGGCGGACGGCGTCCGTGAGGAATATTTCCTCTTCATCTCTTGCAAATAGGTGCCGGCTTCATCCGTCTAAAGTATGATAAAAGTTTGGTTGTTTCGGTGGCGGGGAAAGCCTACACCGGTCAAGTGGTTTTCTAAATTTCCTAGATCGAAAAAGGGCGTAAGACGTCATCTCATCACGGATGCCTATGAGTAAACCTAATAAAAATAGTTACGTACGCCCTACTCTTCCCCAAGTTAATTCAATTTATGAACGAACCGGGACCAAAAATAAAACGGTAATACCTCATAGTCCGAAAGCTGCCACTTTTCCGGCAAAGGCTCGCGTCGTAACATCGGCGCGAGAGCGGCATTTTTCCGGACTTCATATGGCATAAACCAGTGCGCAGCATCTTGCTTCTTGAGAGGCGATTCGAGTCGTTTTTCCACCGGCTTGAAGAAAGACAGAAATTTGGTGCTGGCGCGACATTTCTTCTCTTCTTCCAAAAGTCGAGCGGCCTATGACAAAATATTACACAAGTTTCCTGACAAGTACCTCTTCCTCTCGACGTTTAGCTGCCTTCCGTTCCTCTTCCTGACGTTTCTTCAGCTGCTTCTCTTCGTCTTCCTGAAAAAAACAACAAATTTTTTGAAAGACGGACAGCGAAAAGAGCTTACCATTCTTTTCCGCTCCTCCTTTTTCTTTCTCTGCTCTTGGTCTTCTCGGCGTTTAGCATCCCTCTCTTCCTCCTTCCTGCGCCTGCGCTCCTCTTCTTCCCTTTTCTTTTCCTTTCGCTGCTCCTCGTCTTCCCGGCGTTTAGCTTCCCTCTCTTCATCCTTCTTGCGCTTACGCTCCTCTTCTTCCCTTTTCTTTTCCTCCTTCTCCTTCTCTTTCTCACGCTTCTTCTCTTCTCGTTCCTTCTCCTTTCGCTCCTTCTCCACTCGTTTCTCTTCAGCCATACGCTGAAAGCAAACAGATTAGAATATTCTGAAAGTATCTGACCTCCTTTTCCTTGAGCTTCTGACGCTTGCACTCAGGGTCCAAGGTTTCCTGTCGTGCCGAGTCGACTCGCTTCCTCGTTGCACGAGTTTGCATGCGAGACATGGTAGGCTGCTCGGCGGTTCTTCGCTTGAGCTCACTGCCGTTCTTTATTCTATCAGCGATCTCATCTTCATCGTTAGCGGGGGCTTCGTCCATAGATAGGCTCCGGAGCTCAGATCCGATCTGGAAATTTGTCTATTTGAGGAACAAAGTCCTACCTCAACGGAAATATTGGCAACGTCATCATTCGCTTGATCTTCTTTTTGCGCGCTACTCGTCGGCACATCAACCGCCATCTATAGAATAGGATTAACAATAAGTTGGCAAAGACCGACCTTTGATTCCGGATCTACGCCTTCATCTGCATTGCCGTTGGCATCTCCCGCGGGCATCAGGCGGGGGCGGCTAAAATCGCAAAAATTAAGTGACTAACCAGGCTAAAAAAGGACTGACTACAAAAACATGACGGCAATCATTAGCACCAAGCAATTGTAAAAACCAATGCTCAGATTATTCATGTAAGTTGGCAACCAAAGCCTCAGAACGTTCGATGAAAATGGTGTTGAATACGATAACCTGATTTATTCGTGATAAGAGGGCAAAATTCGGGGACCAGTATGCAGTAAAAAGAATCACAAGAAACTGCGCCAAATTAAAGAAAAAAAATATAAATAAAAAATATGAATAAAAATAAAGTAGGGTTTTCTCGGGATGGTGTTGTAGACGGCCATATGGCTGCACTCATCCCGGCGGCGGAAGCGGCGTTGGTCAGGGCCGAGCCGAATGAAGACGGTGTCGGTCATTCTACAGCTCAATTTTCGGCTTGACATCTTCCTGGATGGCTATCGCCTCTTCCATTAGACGGAATTCCCAGAGCTGGAGCTGCGACACGGTCTCAAGCTGGAACAGAAAGTATCGATCCCACAAAGCCAAGCGCAAAAGCCTAAGTGGGACCTTACGAAACAAACGTACCCAGGCCGGAACCAACGTGATTTTCACACACCGTTTGTCGCTGCATCTGATCGCAAAGTACGCCCAATCTCCGGGCTAAAAGAGAGGATTGAAGAACACTGGATGAGGACTGACTTGAATGTGATGATTTGGCAGGGGCTCGACGGTGGCCGTCCCGGTTGCATCACGGATGGTGTAAGGAGGGCTGCTGATAAGTTCCGCCATGACGATCGAGCAGCCAGATTCTCTAAACGTGTACAATAAGATTCCAAATCCCATGTAAAAAAGAACGTTTGTTCGCGGCACCGGGAGTTCAACGCGTGCATCAAATTCCATCAAACTCTCGATCCGGTTTGCCGATGCCGCCAAAAACACAAAAAATGTCCCGAAATTTACCGTGAAGCTAGAGACGCACAATCATCCCTCCGAAGGCCAGTTTTCGGCGCATTTTCCGGAACAACTGGGCGACATTGGTTCGGTTGGGCCATGTCGAAGAGAGCGAGGCTCGTCCTTTGCGACAGCGCCCACTGAAAAAAAGTGAAATTCGCCTGAAGATAGTCGTAGCAACGAAAAGCAACCACAATTCGCAAAAGATATCACATGATTGATTTTAGAGAGCAAATTATCGCGGATTTTTTGAGCATAAAAACGGCCAATTCGGTTCATGAACTCTTCTGTTATGAAAATGGGCTAGTTTATTACCCATAACGTCAGATTCTCGAGATAAAAGCAAATTTTGGTGAAATTCATCCGGGAAACACCAAAATTTCGGGGCCTGGTTAAAAAAGTACGCTGAAAACGAGAAAATACAAATGAAAAGTTAAAACTTTTATTTTGCTAAGAATTTGTTATATGCTGTTATTGGTAAACAAGACGGTACGTTATGCTACTCGTTGCGTCGCTACGTCATTTGAATTATGCCGTAGCCGACGGAAGGGTTGTCTTGAGCATCATTTCGCGCTTTTTTCCTTTTCCGGCGCAAAAACTGATTTTCAAGAAAAAGACATCATAAGTTTGTGATTTCTTCTGTAATAACTAGATCCAGGTAACAAAAATTTTTTTTAGGGTTATTGCACGCATTTTATAAGCATTTTGGCCGTTGGCGGAAATGTCATGGCCCCGTTTTACTCAACTAGGCACTGGTTTCTTGACCTAATCTAGACTGTGACGGGTTAGCCACACGGGTTTCAATATTTATTGTTTTCTAACTCAATTGGTGCCGTGTTGGTAGCCGGGAGCGGTTTCAAACCTTTTGTCGCTTAAAGGTGTAGCTTTTATCTTCTCGATAAGCGCCACGAGCGCTCTAACTTTCCGTAGCCGCGCTCACACGCGCTGAAGACTTTATTGTATGAATGTGACGACTCTTTTCTGATTACCGATCCTCATTTCTATTTCTGTATCTAAATCCTTTAAAAGCCCGTTTTTTTCAGATGACGTGCATCGGGGATCTGGGCAATTTGGCCGTGGCCCTCTACGGCTTTCGCCAAGCTGAACGCCGATATGAGGCGGCCGGTATCCACTGGGAAGTGAGAGAGATCAGGGACCGTCTCTCGCTTGGCCGCTGTACGCTCCCCGTCTACAGGTATAGCAAAAGCCCTTTCAGTACTTTCTTTTGCATAAAAAAAGAGCTTTTATCGCGTTTATCAGAGACTTAGGCAACTTTCTAGCGCGCTTTCGCTATGTTTTGATCGGTTTTTGGTCACCGGCACGCTTCGGGAAACTAGCAGCGATCATTTTCGAAAATTGAGTTTTCTGGTGTAGGTTTTGGGCGTTTAGGAATCGTAAAAATTTTTTTTTTGTTTTCGCTGGCTTTTGAAGGAATTTTGAGCGCATTCTTGCTCTAGTTTTGTCAAATTTGGCTGATAAACCGCATGTGTACACCAACAGCGATTTTTTGAGCGAGATATCAGACTTTTTGGTGTCTAAAAACTTTATAAATAGCTTTTTTTCAGAAATCCCGATGCGCCGGTGGTTGCCGTCGCCGCACCGACCGGAAAGGGCAAGAAGAAGGTCAGAACATGTTCTGGAAATCTCTAATTTTTGTTTAGGTGGTGGTGAAAGAGCAGCTGGAGCCGCGCGTCGAGCTCTTCGACGCCGACGACCACAAATACGAAAAGTACCTGATGAAGCTCGACCCGAATGACACGAAGAATCAGGACCACTACAAGGTGTTGGGGCTGAAGAAGCTCCGCTGGGAGGCCACCGCCGAGGAAATTCGCATTGCCTGTACGTTTTTGGGGTTTTGAAGCTTAACAATGTTTTTCGTGCTTTTGGGGACTGATTTATTTGCTTTTGTGCGTATGGAGCCCTAACAACTGTTTCTTATTCAAAAATTCAAGCTTTTCGGCGTTTTTTTGAAAAATTTTGGTTTTGGCGCTTTATTATATAAAAAAAAATTTGTTTTGCGCTTTTATTAAAGATTTTATTTTTGTTGCTATGGGTAGGAATTTAAAAAAAAACGTTTTGCTCAAACGGATTATGTAAATATCTTTTTCAGACCGTCAAAAAGTGCTGAAGCACCACCCGGACAAGAAGAAGCACGCCGGGATCCCGCTGCCCGCCGGCGAAGACTTCTTCACGTGCATCACCAAGGCCAACGAGCAGCTCGGTATCGTTTCCGTTGTAAAATGTTATTTTCTGTGTTTTGTAGGCATGAGCGAGGCGAAGCGGCGCGCCTACGACTCTGTGGACCCGAAATACAGCGACGACTTGCCGAACGAGAAGGAGGTGAACGCCAAGAATTTCTACGAGCTGCTCGGGCCCGTTTTTGCCGAAAATGGACGGTAAAATTTTTTGGGTGGTTTTTGAAAGTTTTTTAGATTCTCCATCCCGCAGCCGGTGCCCCTCCTCGGCGATGAATCGAGCAGCCGCGAGGATGTGGAGGACTTCTACTCGTTTTGGTTCAATTGGAATACCTGGAGGGAGTATAGGTACTATAATTAATTATAATTTAAATTTAGTTAATTCGTAGTAAATTACTACTATTATTACTATTACCGCTGCTTCACACTACTGTTTTTTAATCTATTTACATTAGTACATAGTAAATTACTACCATTATTACTCTTACCGCTGCTTATTACTAGTATTATTTAGATCTAATTTACGTTTAATTAATACAGCGAATTACTAAATTTTTGGTAAATAACTGCTATTGTGATTGCTCTTACCGTTGCCTATTAAGTACTACTATTAATTAATTATAATTATCTAATTCAATCTAAATATAATTTAGTTTTAATTTTAAGCTTAATTTCCATGTTTTAGTTACGACGACGAGCAGGACAAGGAGAAGGGCGAGGATCGATGGGAGAGAAGGGAAATGGAGAAGGCGAACAAGGTGGAGAGGGAACGACGCCGCAAAGAAGAGTTCAAGAGGATCAGCAACCTCGTCCACATGGCCCACAACAAAGACCCGAGGATTTCCAAGTTCAAGAAGGAGGAGGCCGAGGCCAAGGAGAAGGCTAAGGTATCGTTTATGAGAAATTTAGACCATTCGACCATTTTTTTTTGCTAAAATTGCTACATTGATTTTATTGTTATTGTTTGCAAATTGAGGCTTTTGTGGCGAAATTTTTTCAATTGCTGCCTTTTTGAGGTGAGCATTGACCGGAAATGACCGAAATCTGAGGCTACAACCAGTTCCATTAGAAATTCAGGGACTTTTTGAAGCGATTAACGTGTCAATTTTGCAGGAGGAACGGGCCCGTCTGCGCCGCGAAAAGCAAGAGGCCGAAGAGCTGGAGAAGCGGAAGGCCGAGGAAGCCGTCGCCGCCAAGAAACGAGAAGAGGAGGCCAAGGTAGTGTTTTTTCACTAGAAATTGATTTCTATTGAATAAATCAACTTTGTACATTATATTTTTGAAAAGGCTATGATAGTTTCCAATTTCTCATTTTTCAAAAAATAACTCTTTTTTAACGCCGCAAAACTGGAGGAGAAGCGGCAAAAGGACGCGGCCAAGCAGGCGAACAAGGCCCAGAAGAAGCGGTACATCTTTCTGGATTTTTCAAAATGATTTTCTTTAGTTTGGAGGGGCTGTGCGAGGCGGGCAACTATTGGACGACAGACTCGAAGGAGAAGCTCGTCGCCATGGAACGCTTTGATCGGGTATTTTGGAGCCTTTTTATTCTATTTCTGATTTAGTTGACCTTTTTGCTGAACACGGACGAGATCGGGGAGCTGTGCGATCAGATTGACAAGATCAAGCTCGACGCCCCGGCCGTCAATCGGCTGCTCCAAGACGTTGAGGTGCGTTTGTATTTTGTAGATCTACTTTTTTTCAGGACGAAAAGAATCGTGCGCGTACCGCCGCCGAGACGGCCAACAAGGCCAACAAGGAGAACACGACAACGAAAGAGGCGGAGGTTGTGCTGTGGACCGATGAGGAGATCCTTCTTCTTACGAAGGTAAATTTTTAATAAGCTTTTTAACTTTGAAAATCACCAGCGAATTTCGTCCCGTAATGTCCCCTTGCTTGTCTTGGAATGAAAAAAATATCGCTTTTTTGCAAATAGCCATAGATAAATTTTTATTCTTATTTTTGCAGGCGGCCAACCTGTACCCGGCCGGCACGATCGACCGTTGGATCGTGATCGCCGACTACGTGAATGAACACCGAAAGGGGCAGACGACACCCAAAAAGACCGAGAAACAGGTCATCAAACAGGTATGCTAATTTTTAGACTTTTAAAGTTTAACTTTGCCCTTTGAAATTAAATCAATAATTCATTTTTCTTATTTTTATAGATTTATTAAATTTCGATTACATTTTTTTCAGACAAAACTGGTGCAAACGGGACAGGCGAAGCCGACGGCCGCCTCGCAGAACAAACTCGGCGCCCCGTTGCCCGATGAGGTACGCCGAATTCTCGATTTCCAAGTGATTTTTCGGTTTTTTTAGGAAAACTGGAGCGTGAAGGAGCACAGCGCGTTGGAGGCGGCGTTGAAGAAGTATCCCGCCAGCGACCCGGAACGATGGGAGAAGGTTCGCCGCGTTTTGGGTTTTCCTGTAGTGACTGTGCTAGCTTGCCCCTTAGTCTTTGGTTTTTAGGAACTTTCCACAATAGCCTCGGCTAGCCTACCCCTCTTTCCCCTGCTTCCGAAACGAGCTCTGCTGGGTCTTCCGGGTTGTCTGTCTTTTTGTCGAATTTTTGCTTCTGCACTGTTAGCGGGGGGGAAAGATTTTTAGCAGGGAATTCGAAAGTTTTGACCCTTTTTGATAATTTTCATACGTTTTTGACCAAAAAGTCATTCCCTAGTCATCCCTGCTCGTTTGCCAAGAGGGCCTGCCGTCCCCAATGATCCCTGCTAGGCTGCCCTCTGCTCTGGAGCCGAAATGTGATTTCCCAAACAGCATTTTTTTGTAATTTGAACCGGATCTTCGAGATTATTTTAAGTTCTAATTTCTATTGTTAATTTTTGAATTTCGACAGTGTTTTTTGGGGCTTATTTTCTTTTAACTATTTTAGCTTAAACCAGGGTTGAAAAGCCGCTTCGCGACTTTTCAACCCTGGCCCCGTCTCGGATCCCATACTATTCTGCCCTTTGCATAATTGTCCTCCATTCAGAAGACAAAAAAAATGAAAAACAACCCTTTCTGCCTCTTTATATAGGCGACGGCCCACTTCCGGTCTATGCTAATTATTCCTAACAAAGAGGTTTTTACAAAAACCTAAATTTAATAGCGAAAATGGCTAATTTTTAAAAATATGATATGTGTGCAGTTATGCCTAGACCATTACGCACCTAATGACGTATCATACGTAGCCTAAAACCCGCCCTGCTTGAGATATCCTCCGGACAGACAGACGGAAGTGGATGCAAAGTGGCACACACACACACACAAACACACAAACACTACTTTTTTTATATATAGTAGGATGTAGCGTTTTTAATCCGTTTTTTTCCAGGTAGCCACCGAGGTGCCGGGCCGCACGAAGAAGGACTGCATCAAACGATTCAAATACGTCGCACAGCTCATCAAAAATCAGAAGAAATGAGGCGGACAAGGCGTGAAGAAGCCCCGTATGCCTCCCCTCCTCTTCCTCTTTCTTCCGATCAATATAATAACAATGTCCACTCTTTAGTGTCCATTTTTGTTGATTGTGATTCGGACTCCCCTCTATTTCTCTCTTTCTCCATCTCTCATTCTCTAGTCCCCTGCTAGCTCTCCCTTGTACTTCTTCTTCCGCTACCCCCGTTATATAATTCGTTACATACCAAATATCTTCCGCCCACTCGTTTTTTTGTTATAACTTTCCGTCTTCTTGTTGTTGTTTATAATCGAGATTTCAGAAATGAAGATAATGTCATTTTATGCGTTCGAATTTTGACAATTTGACAATTTTAGGCTGGAAAGGGCGAAAAATAGACGTTTTTGGTGCCATTGCCTGGCCAAAGCGGTGATTTTTAGATACCGACGGGACTAATCGATTGATGTGCTTCCGATAAGTAAATAGCTTTTTGCGTAGAAAGTTATTATTTTTGTCTCGCTCTCTCTCGCGCGCTCTCTCTCTCTCTCTCTCGCAAAACCCCGGTGCCGGCTAAGATTTTTGCTTTTTGCTCGGTTGACTCTGCTAGGTCGCTTCAATTTCAGCACATCCGTTAGACATTTATTTTTACAATTTAAAACACGTAAAAAAATAAAAAACTAAGATGTAAATCCAAAAACGCAAATTATTTCCCGTTCAACTGCCCATTCGGCTCGTCCGTGTGCTTGGTCGTCTTCTGGCGCGATCGGTGCTCTTCGGGCTAAAACTATATATGCATTTTTTTATAAGTCGCTATTTTAAATCTATATTTATATGCTTAAAAATATATACTAAAGTCCTCATTAAATTAGCTTAACTTTATTAGCTTACCTTGTTCATATTTAACGCAAATTTCAATTCGTCCCGGATTTCCGTCGTTAGGGGCCTCTGAAAAAAATATATGCTAATTTTCTTAAACATATTTTAAGGTGCGTGTCTAATTTCATCTAGACTAGACAAAGATTCACTAAATAAAGAAAAAAATAAAAATTCTAGTTTGGCCTACCTTATCTTTAGCCGCCATCTGCCGGCTGCGGATCAATAATTCGATGATGACGGTGAACAGCCTAAATCAGGAAAATTGATATATTTAGAAAATAAGAGGTTTTTATAAAAACTAAAGCCTTAAATTTTTGAATCTTAAATATACTAAAATGTAAAAAGCAAAATTTGATAAAAGTTGACTAAAATTAAAAATGGTGATCATAATGAATTTTTTAAATTCGAATTTGCCAGAAAAATTACCCAAATAACAATCCAGCAATTAAAATAATGAAGAGCCCGGCAACGTTATGGAGTGACAAGGAGAAGCGCTGCTGCTTCACCGCACCCCCGCCCTGGCAAGAGGCGCCTCTGCAAAATTTTCATCAATTAGCATAAATCTTCGGAGCTAAATTGTAAAAATTAGACAACAGCGGTGAATGACGACCCAAAAAAATGTAGAAAAATTGTGTTAATCCCTAGAATGACACAAGTAAAAGGGGCAACTCCCACGATCTGTCGAAGCCGCTGAAAAATGACACGGGGTTATATGGATTTCCTCATTAATCTCTGCTAGGTTTCTCACTCTTCCGCAATAATCTCTGCTAGCTTGCCCTCGCTTCCTCAATGATCTCTGCTAGCCTGCCATCGTTTCCTCAATGACCTCTGCTAGCCTGCCCTCCATTCCACAAATGCTCTCTGCTAGCTTGCCCTCAAAATTAGCATAAAAAAATAAAAGACCGACTTGCTCCTCCACCATTTCGTCTTCTTCATCTCGATAATACCACGCTTCGCATACAGCAATATTTGTCGGGATATTCGATCGGTCCATTCGGATTCTAAATCAGCTTAGGCTTGGGCTTAAGCTTAGGCTAAGCTTAAGCTTGGACTTTGGCTTAGCTTAGGCTTAGGCACGGACTTAGCTTGGGCTTAGCTTACGCTTAGGCCTTTGCTTAGGCTTACAAGGAGATGGTCTCAGCTGGGATTTGAATTCGGATTTGAAAATTTGCACACTTATAGAGCTCGACGAGACAAATCGATTGGTGTAACTTTCAGCTGCTGATACAATAACCACGCCGAGTTATAAGCATTTTAAGTTTTTGCATACATTTTGCAATATTTTCGCCGTAGCTTCATAGGCCTTCCCCGCCTCCCCCATCACCGTGGTCTGGTGGCCTAGTGGTGTAGTAGGCGGGCTCCGGGGAATCTAACGAGGGTTCGAACCCGCTCACGATTTTTATTTTTTGCTTCCGAAGGTTCCTCTTTGCTTTCTGAAGGCCTTGAATAGCTTTTTACGCATTATTTTAAATCCTCTGGTGAGAAATGGCTAAAAAAATCTCTTTGAAAAAAATTAGATTTTTTACCCGAAAGGACTATGCAGATCCCAAAATAAATTGAAAATTCAAAGTATATGAAAAATCGAGGAGTACACGTAATTTATTGTAAATGGTGTGTTATCCGAACAAAAATTTTCATAAGCGAAAATTTTTTTGGGAATGATAGTCATAGGTTAGTCAGGCTTAGCTTCGGCTCAGACTTATCCCCACTTTTCTGCAGCGCAATCCCATATCCCTTCGATCCGAGCACACCGCCGATTTGCGTCAGATTGCAGTTCTGTTGTACCTCGTACTCGAGACTCGTCGATTCCATCAAAAACGCATAGTTGCCTCTGAAAGGGTAGTTGATTGTCCACCTACAGTAGCCCTGCTTACTGTAGCGCTTTTTCCACGCCAAGTTGGTTGGTTTTGACAAAGACATCCTTGTCCTTCATGTATTCCCACATTTTGACGTGGGAGCCGATGCGGGATTCCTGAAAATGGCCGAATCTTGATGATATCGTTCCTTTAAGGTTGGCAAGCCAGCAGAGATTATTTGGGGAAGATACCTCCTCCTAATACGCCCTTTCAATGCCTTTACACTTGCTGTTCCAGTCCCTTTAAAATGCCAAACCTGGAAGAATTGCATGGTACTGCCACCCTTGATTGTGCCGTAAGAGATTGTCGTCTGGTTCGCCAGATCATCCAGGTTCTAGAATGGATTGGATTACGGTAGTTAGGTCACGTTTTAGCTGCGTAAGCCACGGCTAGAAATAAGCCAAGCCTAAGTCTAAGCCTAGGCTAAAGCTGGTTAAGTCTAAATCAAAGCCCAAGATTTTGCCGTTACCTTAATCGGAATAAACGGCCTGGATACGGTAAGCACGGCAGCCAGGTTGGCGGTGTAGGCGGAGATGATGACCAGGGTGAACACCCACCAGGTGCCTGAAAATGTTGTTGTCACTGTTCCTTTAATAGGGCGTTAAACAGCAGAGAATATTAGGGAAGGCAGGGAAGGCAGGGCAAGCTAGCATGGATTCTTTAGGAGAATCTGACTGAAGCGGAAGGCAAGCTACCAGGGATTCTGTAGGGAATCTAGAAGACGGCAGGCTAGCAAGGATTCTTTAAAAATTTCTCGGTTGTGGAAAAAGCAAGCCAGCAGAGATCATTAGAGGAAATATGGCTGAAAAACCGGGCAAGCCAGCAAAGAATCTCTGCGGAATTTAGCCTCCAAAAAAGTAACTCACCTCCCAAAAGTCTGGTAGAAACAGCACGAGGTCCAAAATCACATCCGCCTTTTAACATTGTGCTGGTGACATACCTAAAGGTCATTTTTCACGTTGTACAGGTACCCAAAATTTCGTACCATAACGTATTCCAGAACGAGTAGTTGTTGCTCAATTGCAGTGGTTCCGAATCAGCATTGAAAGTGGCGCCCGGGTGGGGTTGATGGGCTAAAAGGGCGAGTTAGCGAGAGAGAGAGAGAGAAAGAGAGAGAGAGCGAGAGAGAGAGTGAGAGAGAGAAAGCCGGATTCATACCTGTACAGCACGAGAAATTCAAATTCCATTCGTACGGCGTGATCCGGGCCACCATAAACATCCCCACCGTAACCCCGGCTAAAAAAGGAATATACAACCAATATATAGGAAATTAAACTCGTTTAACCGTAACCCCGGCTGAACCATAACCGTAACCGTAACCGTAACCGTAACCCCTGGACAACTGGATTTAACTGTAACAACTGAAACAACTGTAACTGAACAACTGAACGACTTTGAACATGATCAACAGCATGAGCCTTGATCAACTTGATCAATTTGAACATGATCAACAACATGATCAACAACTTTGAATAACAAAAAAACAACTGAAACAACGGTAAAACTGGACAACTGAACCTTAACCGTAACCCCTGGAAAACTGGATTTAACCGTAACCCCGGCTGAACCGTAACCGTAACCCCTGGAGAACTGGATTTAACCGTAACCCCGGCTGAACCGTAACCGTAACCCCTGGAGAACTGGATTTAACCGTAACCCCGGCTGAACCGTAACCGTAACCCCTGGAGAACTGGATTTAACCGTAACCCCGGCTAAAAATATACAACTATACCGTAATTAAACTCGTTTAACAAGAAACAAAATATGCAAATTAGCCCCCACCTATGGCCGTAAGAATTGCCAGCCAAATCTCCCAGGACAACGGGTTGAGGAAGGAGAAAAGGTCCGGCTGCTGGTCGTCGGGGACCTACAAGCAGAAGTTAAACCCAAGTCCTAGCCTAAGCCAAAGCCTAGGCCCAAGCCCACGCCTACCTTAAACAATATCGAAATCCCCAACGATAAAAATGGCTTGGTGAAGTCGACCTGCTCGGCCCGCTTGAAATTCACGGTCAAGGGAGCGACCGCCATTTCGGCTTCCTAAAAATCGGGCATTACCGTAGTCCGATATATATTTACTGATACGGATATTATCGTTTGCGATATCTTAAAAAATGCAAAAATACCGTACCCCTCTCAAAATCTCGCCAATCATCCCGTCCCAAGTTCCATTACCATAGACGTCATTTCCATAGCGTCCGTCTTTGACTTTGTGGACGGCGTAGGTGAAGCCTAAGTTTTTCTATCTCTCGCTCTCGCTCTCTCTCTCTCTCTCTCTCTCTCTCTCTCTCTCTCTGTCTCTGTCTCTGTCTCTCTGTCTCTGTCTCTCCGTCTCTCTCTCTCTCTCTCTCTCTCTCTCTCTCTCTCTCTCTCTTACCCAAGTCCCTCGACAATTCCGTCAACAAGTCGATACAAAATCCCTCGAATTTCTGATTAGCATCCAGCTCGAAGTGGTTCTTCTTCAACATCACGTAGGGACGTTCCTAAAAATCCTTGAACTCCTAAAGAACCAGCTTACCTCAATAGTCGTCACCCGGAAATGGGGCTTTAGCTCGTCGGAGACCTGCACGTTTTTCTGGAGCTGAGCACGAGAGTCGCCGCTCATATTGACGTGAACATCGGTTTTCGGCTCCCAGAAGCCGATCTGAATTAACCAAAAATATCAGTGCTAACCGCCGATGAAGTCTGGAGTTTGTAGTCTGTAGTCGGTAATTTGTGCTTTGTAGCTTGTATCCCGGATTCGTAATCTGTAGCCTGTAGTCTGCAGTTTCCTCACATCATCCAGCCGTCCGCTGTATCCTAGCAGCAAGATCCGCATCGAAAAGTCGCTCTTCATCGGATGTCCCACGCGACGAAGGTCTCCAGAGATTCCGCGAAGACTCTGGAATCGCCATAGCTGTACATGCTACAAAGTATAAACTACCCGCTACAAACTACAAAAATAAGCTATGAAATTTCAAAAAAATTGTTTTTGCGACCTTACATTGTTCAAAATGGCGTCGATAATGGTCCGGCCGTGCTGATATTTCCTCGCCTCTCGTCCTGGCTTTCGGCAGGCTGTCATGGGCCTTTATCAAGGTTCTTAGCTCCTTTAAAATACTCCTACAAGTCGTCGAGCTGCTGCGAATGGCCGACCAGCATCGTCGCGTTCGCGAAAGCGTAGATGGCGTCGAAAGTGAAGGTGGCTTCCGTCTGGAAATTGTCGATTCGTTATTTCTCTATTTATACTTCTCACTCTGCCTCTCTCTCTCTCTCTCTCTCTCTCTCTCTTTCTCTCTTTCTGTCTCGCTCTCTTTCTCTGTCGTGCTCTCTCACCTACCATTCTCAAATTCCGGCTAAACCCGGTCTTCGCATTCCAATGATCCCTGATGTGATTCCGGAAATGCGTCATGTTGAAGACGTGCTCCTTCTCCTTCAGGAAAACCGGATCGACCGGATGGGGCGAGATATAGCGGGCATGGTTGTTCCGGAAATAGTCCATGTCCATCGTGGCAAGCTCCTGAAAGGTCGCTGCTAGTCTGCCTCTCTCACGCTCTCTCTCCCTCTCCCTCTTTCTCACTCTCTCTCTCTCTCTCTCTCCTTACCATTGAGGTCAACAAGAACCAATGCTTCAGGTCGATCAGTCCCATCTGCAGCCCCTAAATCGTGCCCGTTCCACCGTAATTGCCTTCTGAACCCACAGCCAACAGGAAATTGTACGCATGCTCGGGGTCAAGGTCGAGCAGTACCCGGCTAAACTCCGAGCAGTCCTTCCGCTGGTAGAAGCTGCACTCCTCGAGCTCTTTGACCTGAAAATGGGGGTTTTTCTAGGTGACACTATCCCTTTCAACCCCGGGAAAAATGGGAATAGCTTTAAATACGTCAAATTAGGGCAAAATCTGTTGATCTAGATATGTTTTAAAGGTTTTTCTTGCTGTCTCTACGACGTTACGACCATAGAAATTCACTCACATCCCTCGCTGCCTTCATATAGTCCTTATTTTGCACTTTGACAAGCCGAAATCTTATCGATGAGTACGCGTCATCCTCTAGCAACGGTTCGATTCGCCGAATTCCTAGGGGATTCTAGCTTTAATTTGATGAAAAATCTCATACTCTCGTCCTCCTCGTAAACGATCGTGATCCGGTTCCAGCGCCAGCGCCGGAAGAGGTCGACTATTGCCTGGAAAGAGAGAGTGAGGGAGAGAGAGCGAGGGAGAGAGAGACAGTGAGAGAGAGTGAGCAAGAGAGACAGCAAGACCCACCTCAAACAACTGGGCCTTCGGGAAGAAGTCAATCCTTACGTTCGAAGCCGCGTTTACACCCAAATCGTCGATTGCCGTCAGGATAGGAATGTCCATCTGAAGCGGAGTGAGGGAGAGGGGGAGGCAGAGGGATAGAGAGCAAGAGGGAACTTACCTGTGCAGCTAGCCTCTCGAGCTGAGCGTTAAGCATGGCGTGGGAGGAGCCGATGAGGGCCACGACTTGATCACGTTCGAATAGAGAACAGGCTGAAAAACATCGGGCTTTTTACAAGAATTCACTACTAGCCTGTCCATCGTCGAGAGAGAGAGAGAGAGAGAGCGAGCGCGAGAGAGAGAGAGAGGGAGAGAAGGAGAGAGATATCTAGATACCTTTAAGAACAGCATCGTAGTGGTCGAGCACCTCGATGTACTCGATGACCATGTCGAGCTGAAAAACTTGGAATTTTTCAGTTATGCCGGTGAAGCCTGTGAAGCCAGTCAAGCTTTGTAAGCCAGCCATGTCAAAGTCTACCTGTCCGTAAATCGCTCTCTGATTGAGCCATTCCACTGCATATTGCATGGCCGCGGCGATGTGAGCATCTTCGCGCTCGCGAAGTATGGCACCTAACATACTGGATATTATCAAGTCTGATCGGATATTATCATTTTAAGGGGACCAACAATCCCACTTTCGAACGCCCATTCTACCAATCGCTGGAATCTTACGCGTTTCCTCGCTTTCCCATTGAAATTCCCATCCTTCAGCTCCGATTTTAGCGTCTAGGTGCGGAGAGGAGGCCGCCAAGGGGGAAAAGCGCAATTATTTTTTGAGAAATGGCTATTTTCTTAGGGCCCGCCGTGCGAAGGGGCTTAAAACGGGGAGAGGGCAAGCGATCATGGGTGGCGATTTTGCGGAAATAACCGCAAATACTCTGAAAATCTAGAAAGTGTTTGGTAAGAGTTTACTTTACCCCCCCCCCCCACAGCCGAAGGGTCTCAAAGTTGTCGGTATTTTCGCTTATTTTGTCGGGATTTTCGCAACGCCATTCGATAGAGCGTCGAAAAATATACTAAGAGTTTTAATATGAGCCTACAATAATGTAAAATAAAAAAGTTATAGCCAAAACATTCCGGCTGGGGGGGGGGGGGTAAAGTAAACCGTAGCCAAGTGTTTAAATGAATTCATCTAACTCGGCGCAGAAGTTACAACGAAGCGATATAAAGTGATTTACACCATTCGAAAGCCCTTGAAACAGCGAGTTTGCATCAATCTTCAAAACCATATTTTTATTGTTTTAAACCATGTTATTTTACACCGCTTTCAAACCTTAGGGAACGGCTTCTGCATCCAATTATGTAAGGGCTACTTCCGGTCATTTTTCTTGGCGAAATTGAAGCCAATTAGCTCGTATGCAACCGCAAAATTTTACAAAATCGCGTGCAAAATGGCGTGTTAAAATCAAAAGAAAGTTTTGAAAGATGTGGCAAATTCGCCATGGGAAAGGCTTTCGAATGGTATAACTACCCTTCCGATCCGATACTTCCAGGCTGAGTTAGGGGGGGTATTTTTTAGTAGGACACCCTGTATATCCATATCCATATCGAGATCCATATCCATTATAACGATTAACCATTATAATGCGCTGGAGCCCTACTTTTCTTTCCCCAGTTCCGGTTGGCCCAATTGGGACATGTCGTCTTGTGCTCCCCCAAATTTTCCGAAGCCCCAAGGCATTGCTAGTGGCGGATGTCGCTCATCAATTTTTCATTTTTGCCCCAGCCCTCGGCGAGGGGGTCACGCCAACGGGTTTTTTGGTTTTCCGAATAGCCAAAAATAAAAAATAAAAATTCGGAGTCCTCACCAATTTTGAGGCCATTTGTCGGGGATGGCAAGAGAAAGCTGCAGAGACTGAATAAAGTGGCGTAAGCGGATGGGCAGGGCTTCATTTTCAGAACGGGGTCAGTCACATCCTGAAAGAAAGATTATAGGCGAGATAGATGAGGGCGAGAGAGAGAGGGAGAGAAAGAGAGAGAGAGAGAGAGAGAGAGAGAGAGAGAGCGAGAGAGTGAGTGAGAGCGAGAGAGGGATTTAGTAGGAGAAAAAGTACACCAGAGCTCAGTTACAAGTCTGAAAAAAAGTTTAAAATCTGCCAAAAATCCTTGGAGCTTCAGCAGACGAGCAGGAGTTCTTAAGTAATTGAAATACGACAAAAATCAGCGAAACGGCAAGCTAGCAGAAATTCTTTGAGACCAAAAATCTCATTTTTAAGGAGCGATGGCAAGCCTGAAAAAAAAGGTTGAAAATCCGCTAAAAATTCCTGTAGTTTGCGCAAACGATCAGGAGCTTTTAAGGAATTGAAGCATAATAAAGTCAGAAAAAATCAAAATCAGTCCTACGGCAAGCCAGCAGAGATTCTTTGAGCCCAAAAACCCCCTGCCCGAGCAAGTCTGGAATCTCAGCCTTGGGGGTGGGGTATGTGAGTGCATATGGAAGTTGTCAAGTGCCAAAAGGAGTGTGGCGGAATGGGAGCACAGCCTAGCCAAGGGGGGAGGGGGCCTTTAAACGGCCAGTAGGGCCCTAAGCCCGAACGAATGCGATTTGGCCGTGGATGGGCAGGGGGGGGAAGGGCCCTCAAAACGGCTCCAATTTCCATCTCCTCAAAACAGATCCACGCGCCAAACGAGGGTCGTCAACGGGGAAATTGGTTAGCATAAACTTGAGCTTGGGCTTAGGATTATGCTTAGGCTTATGTTTAGGCCTAGACTTGGGCTTAGGTTTAGACCTAGGCTAGCTTTGGATTAGGCTTTGGCTGAGGCTTAGTATTAGGCTTAGGCCTAGGTTTAGGCGTATGCGTAGGCTTAGGCTTATTGGGCTTAGGCTTAGGCATGGGCAGGGACGTAGCCAGAAAAAAATTTCGGGGGGGGGCCCCCAAAAAAATTTTCCAAAAAACTCAAAACATTACCGAAAAACAGCGCCGCAGGCCAAAAAATTTTGAAAACAAGGTTGCATCGCTCATACAAATAGCCGTAAAAACGTGAAAAAATAGCGCCGCAGGCAGCAAAATTTTTGAGAAAATAAAAATCATAAGGGTCCCCCCTTATGAAATTTTCGGGCCTCGGCCGATTTCGGGGGCCCGGGCCCCCGGGGCCGGTATTACGCCACGTCCCTGGGCATGGGTTAGGCTTCGGCTTAAGCTTAGGCTTGGGCTTAGGCTTGGGCTTAAAAGGAGTGGTTTTTAGGTGATCTTCGAAATTGGCGATTTGAAATAGCTCATTCTATAGAGCTTAAAATTCTAACTAAGGCCCAGCTCTCCAAAACTGCAGGACGATGACGGTCTTCGAGAAGCAGTTTCTCAAAGTACGCGTTTTTTTAAGCGGAGGTCAAAAAATGGGCAAAAATAACGCTTTCGATAAAGAAAAAAAATTCTGAATCCGATGGCAATATTCGTTTTTAGAAAAACAACCAGGAACATCAAAATAATCGAGCAAAAGTTTGGAAATTTTGCTTAAAATAGACTTCAAAACGTCATAACTTTTGAATCCGAGCTATTTCACAGTATTTGAAAAGAGATTCTGAATCAGCAGAAAATTCTGTATAAGGTGTGCTAGGTTCCGTTTTGAAATCCGTGTACTTTGAGAGGTTCCCTTGTTAGGGGGAAAGTCTGAAACGGAGACATTCAAAACACAGAAGGTTAAAACAAATACAGCCAAAACACAGCCAGTCGATTGCAAAGGCTTTCTACATATTCGGTGTCTGTGTTTTAGCAGTGTGTGTTTTGAATGTCTGGGTTCCGGCTCAAATTCAGGCTCAGGCTTAGGCTTAGTCCTGACCCTGGCCCTCTCTCTGGCGCTGGGAAAATTGATACCAAAATGCGGGCGTCGAGCGTCGTCCAGCGGAAATTTGGGCGTATTCGGGTCGAGACCCCGGGGGCAATTTGTCGGCCTCCCCGGAAAACGAGCAAAATCCCATTTGGGGGAAGAGGAGGAGATGAGAGAGGAAGATGAGGGCCCCTAGACGAGTCAACCCGCCGCGGAAGAGGGACGCATATAATGAAGGACCAGTGGTGGGTGGGGGCGTTATTTGGGAGTGAACCTGTGGAGCATGACCTTTTTGTGTGTTTTATAGCTGCTGAAACTTTATGGATATCAATAAAATATAAGAAATTAAAGCAATGTACAAAAATGCAATAAAAATGGCGACCAGGGTGAGGAAAGTCAGATCTAGTGTCCAAAACAAGGGTGGAAATCCGAGATTCACTGGGGGAGACGGGGAAGAAGAGGAGCCGCATCTTTGTGACCAGACGGTGATTTGGAGATTCGGGGGTAGATCATATAGGAAAAATAGACAATTGAAAATTACCAAAAATTAAAAAAAAAGAATGAAAAACCCGGAAGAATATTTGTGAATTCGAAAGAACCGAGGGTCAAAAGCCTGCTATAGATACAAAAATAATAACAAAACTAAAAACCAGGAAATTAGCATAGAATTGATAGAATTTTCGAGGCAATCTAGTTAGTTCAACGGAATACAGTATCGTTGCGGCTCCGGTAGATCGACAAGGGCGCAGATGAATCCGGGTCGGCATTCAGCCGAAATTTCGCATCGGTAGGTGACTACTGCAAAATACAAAATATGTATTAGCAATGAAATTACGCCAATGGTCCCTGCTAGCCTGCCCCGGGAATATTCCTAAATGCCTCTGCTAGCATGCCCTCTCCATTTTAAATTCTTCCCAAATGATCTCTGCTAGCCTGCCAGCCCCGAGAATCCACAAACCTTGTTGACAGTGATCGCCCACATATGGCGGCTCGCATTCGCACTTGATCCCGTCTTCCATGATCTGGACCTTTCCGTGGTAATGACAGGCGGCATCCTCTGGAAAGAAATGGATGGTTTCTCTCTCTCTCTCTCTTCTCTCTCTCTCTCTCTCTCTCGCTCTCTCTCTCTCGCTCTCTCACTGTCTTTACATACTATTTAAATTTCGACGTTGGCGCGAAGGGTTGATGATGATTGATTCGAGGATTTCTAGACGATGATGATCACCTTCAGGATGTCGTCGATGATGGTGGTGGGAGGCGGAAAATACAGTAGTGCCGAAGAAGGCGATGAGGAGCACGAGGAGAAAGGAGTTCATTCTGAAATTTGGAATGTAAAAGATAGTTAGAAACCAAGCAACGAGAGAGAGAGAGAGAGCGAGAGAGAGAGAGAGATGGAGAAGGAGCTAGCGAGAGAGAAAGAGAGAAGCTAACAAAATTCCTTCAAAGCAATCCAGAGCGTTTTGGAGCAATTTTCGGGAGCAGAAAGTAAAATTCCCCACGACCTTAACCCTTCTATCTTTTATACTTGGCTTATCGCTGAAATCTACGTCGCCTTACCAAGTCACGCCCCTTATTGTTAGATAAGTCGCGGATTGAGTAACATTTGAAGGCGGGGCGGTGATGTCCTTTTTTGGTGCTGATTAGCGGGTGTGGCCGAGCTTAGGGTGTGGCTTAACGCGCTTAGCCAGCTTCTTGCGAGTCACTTTTGAGGTCTGGTGCGGTAGCTAGCAAGCTAGCAGAGATAAGTGAGGAGGTGAGGGCAGGCTAGCAGAGATCATTGAGGAATCGAGGGCAGGTTAGCAGATATCTTTG